AGTAAGTAAGTAGGTAGGTAGGTAGTAGTAGTAGTAGTAGTAGTAGTAGTAGTAGTAGTAGTAGTAGTAGTGGTAGGTAGGTTAGGTTGGTAGGTGGTGGTAGGTAGGTAGGTGTAGTAGTAGTAGTAGTAGTAGTGTGTGTGTGTGTGTGTGTGTGTGTGTGTGTGTGTGAGAGAGAGAGAGAGAGAGAGAGAGAGAGAGAGCTTTGGAGGGTACTGAGGAAAACTTTCTGCTACTCATGAAATGAAGAAGTCTTCAGGGTGGAATTGCAATAACTCTCAATATCTTTTTATTCATTTGAATGGGGAAATGGAAGGAGTTGAGCACATGGAATAGAATTTCTTTCTAGGTTGGAAACATGAGAAGGCATTTGCTAAACTTTGTACATATCTTTGTAGAGAAAAAAATTAACTTCAGATATTACTCTATCTAAACAAGGAATTTGTCCAAATGTCTGGATCCTTCAATGGAAATGGCACTACCCTTACAAAAGCCTCTGGTGTTTGGTTTTAGTCTTTTAGAGCCTCTGAGTTTACTGGCTAGCTTTTCTCGTTTATTGTTCTAAGGGATTGTGCATTGTGGCTCCCATTGTACCTAAGAAATTATTGAATGAAACCTCGTATAGCTATTTTTAACTTTATTTCAGTCTTTGTATAATGGTTCTTATTATGCCTTAGCAATTATTGATTGAAACCTTGTTTCCAGTAAAAACAAAGAACAAGGTTCATGTCTCATGGTAGATCCATGCATTGGTTTCTAAATAATGGAAACAGAGGCTGGGAATCAATGGCGGGCATCGTTATAGCATTAGCTGTGGTAATCCGTACCAGCACATATAAATGTGGCACTGCTAACAACCGTGACGTGACAAATTTTGGCGCATATATGTATGTATATAATGTGAATGAATCAATTATTATAGTGAGTAAATGTTTTGGCAAGGCATCAATTATTGCAGTGAAATTTTCCCTATGCTGGCTTCACATCATGATAGCCATCAACAGATGTCAACAAGGGATGCCTAGGTCTGCACTTCCGCTGAAAGTCTATCAAAACATTCATAACGTTCATTGTATTTGAACCCACGCATACATGCACAAGTACTACTGAACGGTCATTTATCATGATATACTTCCTGGATATATCACCATTTTTGAATAATTGTCAACCTGTATGCTCAAGTCAGCTGATGGGATTTGATTACTAATGCTTGTTAAGAACACATTTTGTGCCCCGTTTTTGTTTTTTTAACACAGTTTTGTGTTCTTTTAAGAGTACAATACACATGCGTGCAATTGTGGATTAAGTGCCTTCAACACCCTTGGTTTACTATAGAAGGGCCCTCAGGGAATGAAAGAGACGAAATCCAATTATGTAAACTTTCTCACAGGATCATCACCGTGCCCTTTCTACAGGATCATCACCATGCCCTTACGTATGGACTTCACAGAAAATAAGTCAGAATCTCATAAAGACTACATCTGGATTTATCGTCTATATCAGGTTTATGCTAATCACATGCAGCATATGCATATACATGTGCATACATGTGCGCCTGTGAAGCATCGAAGATATACATCTTACTGGAATCTTCATATTGTTCAAAACAATGCCTCGCTGATATCCATCAAAAAATTTACTAATCTTTATAATTCTCTAACAATCAGAATATATATGGTATGCAAACAATCTTTTCTTTTGAACCAACTAACTCAACAGGGCATAGATCTCTTCAGCCTCTGGGTGAGAACGGTCCCCTGCAAAAAAAACAGAGACCTCATCCTTAACCTTAATCCAAGACCAACTGGGTTCCTTTTTCACCCCCTTGAACTTCATCAACTTCCTCACATATGCCGCATCACCCCACATCCCAATGGCTGCATAAATGTTTGATAATGTAATGTGGGTACCAGCACATTTTGGATCGAATTCAAGTATATGTTCAGCTGCACGCTTTCCACAATTAACATCACCATGAACCTGACATGCCTTAAGGAGCATGGACCATATGATGTCATTTGGTTTATGGGGCATGCTCATGATCATTGCCTCTGCATCATTGAGGCGTCCTGCCCTTCCAAGGAGATCCACCATGCAACCATAGTGTTCATTTCCTCGCTTTATATTGTAATCTCGGACCATTGAGTTAAAGTAATGAAAGCCTAGGTCTATCAAACCAGCATGGCCACAAGCTGTTAAGACCCCAATGAAGGTAACATAATCAGGTTTGAGACCCACGTTCTCCATCTTCTCAAAAAGATCAACAGCTTCTTGGCAATGCCCATGCTCAGCACAACCAATAATCATGGCCGTCCATGAGACTAAATCCCTACTCTCCATTAAACGGAAGGTCATTGAAGCATCATGTATGCTTCCACATCTGGAGTACATGTTGATGATGGCGCTTCGTATCATGATATTGTGCTCTAGGCCCAGTATAAGGACATGGGTATGCACTTGTTTCCCAAGCTCAAGGATGGCCATGTATGCACATGCACTTAGCAAGCTAGCAAGAGTGACTTCATTTGGCCTAGACCCACTTCTTCGCATCTCTGAGAAAAGCCCAAAGGCCTCTTCACCAAGGCCTTCTTGTGAGTACCCCGAGATCATAGCAGTCCAGGAGACCACATCTCTAACACCCATCCGATAAAACACCATCAATGCCGATGTCATGTCACCACATTTGGCATACATGGTCATAAGAGCATTATCCACCGACATGGAGCCAATGTACCCATGGCACATAACATGGGCATGAAGTTGCATGCCCAGATGAACAGAGCCAAGGCCTGCAATGGCCGATATAACAGCTGCAAGTGTAAACTCATTAGGGCTAACCCCCACTTTCCTCATCTGAATAAAGGCTTGAAGAGCCTCATTTTCACAACCCTTTTGTGTAAATCCTGCTATCTTTGTAGTCCAAGAAACAACATCGCGAATAGGCATCCTTTCAAACAAACGAAGAGCATATTCTAGCTTCCCACATTTGTTATACATGGTAGTAAGGGTATTCCCCACAAAGGAATTCAAATCAAAACCCAATTTAATACTCTGAGAATGGATCTCTTTCCCTATCAAAAGAGCATCAATATCAGCACAAGCCTTCAAAGCAGTGGCAAAAGTGAAGGAATCAACATCTATCTTCGATGCCCACATCTTAGAAAAATACAAAAGTGCTTCCTTAGCATGGCCTGAATTCACCAATCCAGTCATCATAGCGGTCCAAGAGACCACATTTCTTTGAGGCATTTCATGAAATACATCCCTAGACTTCGAAATGCATCCCGTCTTTGTATACATGTCAAGAATTGCGCTACCCACAAAAACACAGTTCACAAAACCAGTTTTTACAGAGAACCCGTGTAAGCTTTCCCCCTGTTTTAGTTGATTTGTCGTGCCACAAGCCTTAAGAATTAAAGAGAGAACAAACTCATCAATCCTCGTGCCTTCCTCTCTCATTCGTGAAAACAAAGCCAGAGCTTCAAATGGTTGAGACCCATTAATGTGACCACCAATCAAGGTTGTCCAAGAGACCTCATCCCTTTGAGGCATGATTTCAAACAATTGGTGGGCTTGTGCTAAGTTTTTGGATTTCACAAGTTGGCTCATGAGATTGTTGGCTTCAAACAAATCAATGGGTGAACCCATTTGAACCATATGAGTGAGAATTCTCTTTTTTTCCAGCAAATTTGTATCTCCATTTCTGTTAACTCTTGAAAGTGTACATAGCTTCTTAATCGAGAAATTGATGGATGGGGAAATAAAAGTCATTGCTTTAAGAGCAATGAGGCTAACCCAGTCCCCTAGGAAAAACATGAAAAATGAAAGAGAGGGAACTTCCCTTAATAAATTTCATGTTCGTATTACAAAATTGGGATTCAGCAGCAACAGAATAAAGAACGTTTTCATCATATTCACTGATTCCACAAGTTCTCTACATCACAGTCCTCTGTCTCTGAAGAATAAGTGATTAATTTTCGGAAAGAGAATCAATGTACGACTGTAGGAGGTCATGGACATTCGTTTTAAACCAACGTTGTGAGTTTCGAATTTTGGCGAGGAAAATTAAACAATTCCTTGCTTCGGCCTGATCCGGGGAAGATTTGGGTTTTTTTTAAAAAGATTTAATACCCGTAAAGGATAGTATATAATGAGACCATTTAACTTTCATACGAGACGGTGACAATTACTTACAACCGTCTAATATAAAATTTTAATTATTTAGATGTGTCATAAAATTTAATTTTTTTTTTTAAATTTGAACTTGATAATGAAATAATTGCAGTCATCTAATTTCATATCTAATGATTAAAATTAATAATTTGACAGCTTTATACCAAAAGTAAATTATCCCGTTCTAAATTTTTTCAACAATAAATAAATTATTTATATATAAAAATAATTTTTACAAATAAAAAATATATATTTTATATAAATATTGCTTTATTTCAACCCAAAGTTTAACCTAATCAGCCCAAAGGTTATTAGAGTAGCAACAACAAGCTTCGTTTCACTTCAATATAAATGCAAACGCTTAAGCCGAAGAAAAGCAAATCTAACAACACGATTGTAAACCGTTGGCGCTTGGCAGGGTCCACACAAACTCTTTAAACTTAAAAGGACGCGGTTGTTATGAATCCCCTCTGCCTCATACTATTCTCGTGTGGGGTCTCTCTAACACTTGTTTTTACTTTGATTTTGGATCCAAATTGGTACAAGAAATTCATGATAATCATGAATATCGAAAGAAAAATAAGATAAAGTAAAATTTTTAATCATTATTTTTAAAACAATTTCCTATCCTTGGGATAGGAATCCATAATCATGGAAGTTCATCTTAAAGATGAACTTTTGTGAGTCATCGGGCTAATAAGTCTGCTGACTCACAGCATTAGCCCATTGACTCACAAAATACTATTTCTTAAAACCGAAAATGTCAATTTGGATTAGGAAATCATATCGATTCCCACATAATCAACTAGGAGGAACAAAAAGGAATATGCTGATTCTATGAGGGAACTAAGCAAATATCAATTGCTCGGTTTCCATAAATATATTTTTATTTTATTATTTTTTTTTCTTTCTTTTGCACAATTTCTTTTCTAATTGTTCAATTGCCAAGAATCAATTGGATTCATTGATCTAGACCGACCAAACCAAATTCCTAGATGGATGGTTCAACCAGTTGATCCAGACTTCAAAACACAATTTTTTTCCTATTGAAATGCATGTTTTCAAGTACTATAACATGTATCTATTTTTTCAATTTAATTTCAAAAGTTTATCAAATGACATTTAATCACAAATTAGAATATATTTGATATAAGGCACAGTTTGATAAATAGTTTTGGTAGCTTTTTCCATGTTAAAATGTAAAATAGCTATTGCTTTAGGTATGGTTTTTTATGATTTATACTATAATACTGTTTATTATTGTTATAAGAAGGCCACAAGCACTCCTAACCACCACATATCAAATTGGATGGCTTGAGATGTATCATAAAATTCGAAAAAAATTTAACAAAAACATTGCATCTAGTCAATTGTACACTTGCAACCACTCGATTTAAAATTTCACTGACAAAAGCAATTGTGAGTACAAGTTAATACATTTCTGGTTCGTTCAAGAACAATAAACTCTACCATATACGCTGCATGAATAACACGAGTACAAACCGGTTGATCCTCATCAACAGAACGTGAAGATGACACACATTTTAGCTTAACTGATACTAGCCCATTTAACCACGAGCAGCAGGTGATCACCACCACCCGTTTATTAAGTAATGGACCCAATATCTATGCGGCCAAGCCTGTAATTGTAGAAATGCAGGCCTCTCAATAAATTTATTTTTGAGATGGATTTTAAGACTTAATTTTTAAGGACATGTAGTCTCTAACATGGAGATTATGAATATAAAAAAATATATAAGTTTTAAAAACTAGAAATAATTATTCTAATAAGAAAACATTTGGACCGTCAGTTTCCTTTGTTTTTAGATGGAACACCTACTTGCATTCATCTTTAAGATGGTTGCCTTACACTTTCTGGACCACATGTAAAAATGCGGTCTAACCCGTGTGAAACAATTTTTCATAAGTAATAAGGATATCAAAAAATAACAATTGCAAAGGAAAGTAGTTAAATTGAAAACGAAAAAGCTTATCGGAAATTTTGTGCACTATGAGATACTAAGAGTTACAAGAAGACAATGAAATCAAAAGAGCGGCAGGGTAGTAGATTTGAAAAAGGAGTAGTAAACGAAAGCAGCTAAATTGAAAACAAACATCTCAACGCAAATGCTAGAGAGAGAGAAAGAGAGAGAAGAGAGACCATGTAGCTCCTTTCAAAATACAGAAATGGCAATTTCAACATACCTTTGTATAGGATAGAAGCATTAACGGTGAGATTTAATCTTCAAAACAATTATGGGGAAAGGTATAGATAGGGAGAGTGACAAATCCAGCTTTCACCATCAAAGGACCTACGTTTAGACAGGAACGACACACCTCAAACTGTTAGTCCAATACATATTGCCCTTTATCATGAAACGAATCTCGCTAGAAACTGCTGGTGCTTTATAAGATGTTGACATGCTGAATTGGTGAGACCAATCAAAATTTTCTTTTGGCAACAAACAGTAAAGGAAAAGATACAAATTCCTATGACCGTTTGCATTGAGAATGTGAATCCTTATCACACCCAAAACTGCTGGTTTTATCGAGTTCTGATGCATAATGACCATTCATGTTGGGAATGAGAATCTTTATCTCACTAGAATCCCCTAGCCTTATGCAATCCTATACATCAAGACCATTCACACCAAGAATAAGAATCTTTATCCCACTAGAAATTGCTGGTATTCTGCTAGTTAGACCTGAGACATGGAGAATGAGAATTTTATCTCACTAGAGATCTGTCTTACAGATGAAAAGCCCAAGCCCTTTAAGTAGAAGCCCACAACATGAAGGCCTAGCCTACCATAAACCTTCCGACTAAAGCAAGAGAGAGCAAGACAGAGAGAGAGAGAGTACAGTCACATAACCTCCATGACATTAACAGTGACAATGGCTCTGCTTGAGCTTTTCGAGTATCTAGTTTTGGTAGCTGGAGAGAAGACCCATGCCCATCAGGAATATCTAGAATATACATCTAGCACACACTATTTCCTTTAATAATACATTATGATTGCATCCACTAAGATTCACCACATTGTATGGAAACACTTACTAACATCAGTATACTTCCAAACAAACATCCAGTATTTCATATTAACAACATTGATATAAAGGGAAGAATACATGCCACAGTTTAGTTGGTTAACTCTGATATCTCCCTTCTGCCTGCCTCTATTAACATACCCACAAACTTGGCAGAATCACAAATATGAGGGTTTAGAAGTGCTGCATGGGCTAAGAAGGGAAGCTTTCTCAAAGCTCTTCCACTCAAACCCTAACAAAACATTTAAAAATTTAACAAAAGCTGCTTAGCATCCTTTCACAATTGTGTAAACTTTAAATCACAAGAATAAAAATTCAAACCTCACAAACTTTGGCGGCGTCAAGCAAGTGCTCAGAGAGATTAAGTTGATTTGTTCTATCTGGCATCTTGGGATCATTCAGGCACCCCTGTAAGCTTGCAAAGCTGGGTAGGATGAGTTGATCCTGATCCTGCAAAAATTACATCATCTGAGCACCAAAATGAAGCCCAAATATCTCGGTTTAGCTGTTAAAGTGCAAGGGCAATCACCCTTCAGTTCAATAGGGCATATAGCCAGGGAAATGGAGAACAAAAAACATACCTGCGGATGCAACACGATTCCAGAGCGTATGAGCTCTTGCAGGCACGACCTCAGTATTTCATAGCGTGCTTGGAGAGTAGGAGGGCCAACATAAGCCTTGATATCAGCTCGATCAACAAAAGCAACATCTGCAATCTAAGCAACAATGAGCTTGCAGGTTCAATCAGGGATTAATGAATTTATCACCCTGAGAGGTGGTAACAAGCAAGTAGCATCTATAGTATATTTGTGCATATTAAACTCAAAAAAATGTTAGGCACATGGCCAGATGGGCCTTTCAAACTAGAAATTGGTAGGAAAGATCCCACGTAGCCTATCTACAAAAAGATAAAAAGGAAAAAAGCACCCATGCATGCTCGCTGAAGAGAAGATCAGACTTAAAAAGATTGATAATATGTCTGTCTGGACAAAGACGAGCTCTGCCAGAGTTGGGATCTTGGTCAGGGGGTGGCAATCCCCTCTTGGAATCTCACTCTGGCGATCCCAGAGCTGTAGCCGAGTGGAACTCGCTTCCTTCCATCAAGGGATCTTGATCTCAATCTATAGGGAACTCAGCTCCTAAATTTAAAGGGATCTCAATCCTTGACTAAAAAAGATATTGATTCATATGGATGGGAGATCGCGATCCAACAAATGTCGGGGCTACATTCCTAATTTGAAGGGATCTCAATCACAAGGAAGTTTCAACATTCTTTGAAATTTAAACTTGGCAACTTAGGTATTGAACTTTTTTTTATGTTTCTTTGTTGCTTCCTAGTGATTGTTTGGCTATCAGTCACCTATGGAGTATGGATACTATTTGTTCTTAGTTTTCATGGTTATGGCTTGCACCACTGGTTGAAAACTAAGGGGGTCTTGACACCAGAACGACCCCGATTCCCGAACTACGGCTACATAAATTTAAGTTTTTAACCTCTGTCAAATTACTTTATGTCCTCTCCCCTCTCCCGTCACTCATCTTTCAATGTCTACAGCTCTTCTTATGAGTTATATTTGTAAGTTTGATTTTTGAATGATATTTATAATCCCCCCTATCTCTCTTGTTTTTTGTTGACATCTTTTTCTAACATCAAAACAGATACATATAAAAGACTCAGAGGATGGGAAGACTTACATCACAAAGGCAAGGTAAATTTTAAGTGTTTACTCTCCATACACACATTAGCATATGAATAATTGTAATCTTTGTATGTGAACCAAAATTATTTGAAATTGAAGAACAAAATATGCATTCTTTTTTAAAAGCAAGAGAGGCTATAGAAGATGTTAATTGGTTAATGCAGGTGTAGAAGAAGAGAAGCAGATTATCAAAAGCCAATGTCCCTCCGACGTATACTATATTACTATCCATTTACTCCCACAGGTAAAACCCCAACTAGGATTAGTTTTAGGATCCCAAATTTTGGGGATATAACCTCTTCAACTACTCAATAAAAAACATTTCCAAATTACACCCTCTAAGCACTTGAAAAAAATGTCTCAAGATTGAATAGAAACCATCCAAGTTTTAGAGAGTGAGATCTGAGCGCTATAAAACTCAAAGTTCAAATTTTCTTTTTTGAGAATAATTATTTAGTGATTATATGGTGGTTACCAAAATTTCAGATTGAAAAAATCCTCCTAAGTAGGTCATCTGACCAAGGGAGTAGAAGTAAAGTATACTTCCAAGGGACCATAGTATACGTGCTCTTATCAAAATCTCAAACTTTGCCAATGGCTAGATTGGATTGCAAATTTATAAAAATAAAATAAAATAAAAATATATCATCGAAGAAAGTGAAAGTTACAAGTTATTCAAATGCACATTTGAAGTTTGAAAAGATTTGAAGTCTTTTTCTATAATTACTTGGTTGTTTGGTTGTTTTAAATGCTAGTGCAACTTATACTATATGCATGGGGTGTTTGTTTGGATGCATTGAAAGAAATGATAGCTATACTTTCAACGCTACAGTTGGTTGGGCACTATGGTTTAGTCATGCAACTAAAGATATATTTTCTGCCTAATGAGCTCGAAAACAGTGACCTCGTTAAGTCTACAAACTCAATATCATTAGAAATGAAGATGTCAGGTAGTTTTCATCAAAACATGGAGAGAAATGGAAAGAAGTGCGCTAGGGAAGACAGAGAAGAGGGAGAAAGAATCAAAGCCTACCCACCATAGCACCATCATTGGTAGCCGGTCTCTCTCAGCCTTCTTGCACTACCGAAAGAGAAATATTTATTAACATCCTCTGTTGTAGCATGTGGTTGAACTGAAACTGGAATCTCCTCCTCTAGCACAAACTTTTGAGTTGGTGGGAATTAATGATAGGTACAATGGCTGGAAAAAGCTAAGGATTGGGTTTAGGGCATGAGAAAGTGATTCGGAGGAGGTAAGATCCCTGCTGATTGGTGGAAAGCATGGGTCACCAATCTCATTTCTCAAGGTGGTAGTAGGCTATTTAGTTCCATATATTTTATACCTGAGCTACCTAGGTTTGGAAAGGCGATAGCATAGTAGTTGAAGGGGGAGATGGGAATATAGACTCCGATAAGAGAGAGAAGCAAGGGGCCCAGGTTGGGAGATGTTGGGACTGGGGAGTTCAAGAAATGCATGCAGCTTGCAGACACATCAACATGAGGTGAGAGGGTGCGTCAATCCTCCTCCTTGGAGAGCATTTTCGAGGATATGAGCTAGATTTGAGAGAAGATTGGGGATATAGGGTGAGCGAGTGCATGGTCTTGGTCTACTATCTTGGGTAGGACGTTGCAGCCATCCTAGAAGAGAGGGTCTCTGCTCTTGTCTATGAGGCATGTCCCTTGTAGTTTTGTAGAATGTTTTGTAGTAGGAGGTCGGAAAGATGAGGAAGAAGATTGATTGAACCTGACAAGAGAAGAAGAGGAAAGGACTCTCACTACTAGGAAGTTACCAGATAGAGAGGATGTAAGTGGAGTGAGATTAATAGGAGGTAGGGAGGAAGAGAGAATGTGTGATATTTGTAAACTTTAAACTTCAAATGTGAATAGTATTTTTGTTTACCATCCAGAAAAAACACTCACATACAAATGCATTTTTTTTCTTTTTATGATGTTTTGGCATGCATTTTGAAAGAATGCATGATTGCAACCCTACATATTGAAGTAGGATCGTCTCCATCTGCACAATTGATTATTCGGATGGTGCATATTTTGCAAACTAACCAACAAGGCAAACTAAGGTTTTCGTGTGAATAAACAAGATTTTACTATTGCACTCTCCCACAGTGCAAGATTGATAATTGTTATATGGGTTCGTCACAAATCTCTTATAATATATGGGCCCAAATTGAGTATGATTGTTTTAATTTAAAAGTAGGGCCCATTAAATGGTCACATGGGCTATAGTACCTATATGGCAATATACAAGCATCACAGCCCCATGAAATCATCTATAGCTTTGTCCAATGTCAAGTGAACGCATCAACTAATTATAGCAATATACAAGTGAACACATGGACAATATTGCCTATATGGTACATATTGCTACACCAATATTACACTTTGTGTTACAATATGTATGCCTTATATATTGTTACAAAGTCATTTTACTTCATCGCTCCATATAGTGCGGTGTATGCTTCCATTGTACGACATTTAATATATATCATACTTTCCATATTTCTATACATGCAATTTATTGTAACACAAAGTGCGCAATACTAGTGTAGAAATATATTGGTGTATATTGCTACACCAGTATTACATTTTGTGTTATTATATATTTAATTTGGTCTATGCCTAGTATATTATTACAAAATCATTTTACTTCATCACTCCATATAATGCGGAGTATGCTTCCATTGTACGACATTTAATATAGATCATATTTTCCATATTTCTATACACGCAATATACACCATGCTGCTTCACATTTAATGTGGAATATACTCGTATATTGTTACATATGCAATCTATCTCATGAGTCCACGCAATGTGGAATTCGCAACAACATATTAGTTTCCTTATATGCTTGTATAAATGCTAAACAAGCACTATAGGCCATGAGTTCAAGTAATGTTCAACAAAGCTACAAATGATATTATGGGGACTGTGATTCTTGTATCGCCATATGGGTACTAAGAGGTCGATATATCCAGGTACTATGTATCTTTACAAGGAGAGTGAAGAAATTGTGTTGACTTGATCTCTTTGATGAGCATAAGTACAAATTCACAAAGTAAGCCTTCTTCCTCCCTACTTCAAACAAGTGTTATCAGAGCCAAATTACTAAAAAAAATGCCCCCTTGATCCAACTACAAATTCCCCTTTTCACCAAAGACAACTATGAGAATTGAAGTATTCAAAAGAAAGCATTGTTCGAGTCTCAAGATGCTCTGGATGTTGTTGAAAAATGGTATGTAGAACTAGCAACCCTCAAGAAGAAGCCGCTTTGGATAAAAGTCAAAGAAGTGTGCTAAAGGAGTTGAGAAGGTTGGACAAGAAAGCTCTCTTTCTTATTTATCAAGGAATTGACGAGAGCACTTTCAAGAAAGTTTCTTCTGCAGCCAATTCAAAGAAGGTATAGGAGATTCTTCAAAATCCTCTCAAAGGAATTGAAAGGTGAAAAAAGTGCACCTTCAAACTCTTAAGGCCGAGTTTGAGGCATTGCATATGAATGAATCTGAAAATATTACGGAATACTTCTCAAGGGTCTTGGTTGTTGTTAACAAATTGAGAAGAGACAGACCAAATATAGATGATGTTAGAGTAATGAGGATAATATTACGGTCACTAGATCATAAGTATGAGCACATTGTTGTAGCCATTGAAGAATCAAAAGATTTAGAGGCTGTGGCTATAGATCAACTCATGGGCTCCTTGCAAACATAAGAATAAATATTGCAAAAAAAGACTCAAAACTCTTTGGAGCATGCACTACAAACAAAGCTTAAAATGAAGAATCTCATAGAGGAAGATGCCAAAGAGGTCGTGCCAATATAAGGAGAGGATGTCGAAGAGGAAACTTTAATAATAGAGGTGTGAGAGATCAAAACCCACAAGCTCAACGAGGACGAGGAAGAGGTAATTTTCCAAGGCTATATAATCATTCAATTAATGGAAAGTCTACTATTCAATGTCATAAATGCAAAAAATATGGCCATTATAGTTC